AATCGCTCGCTTGTGTTCCTTTGCATAATCATTGCATTGGCGGTTGTTTACATTTCTACTCGGTTTTGTGTAACAGTTGTTTGATTGTGGGGCTACAGTGCGTATGAGTAACATGTACTCACGTTATGATGGCTGGATAACATACATTCATGAATGTGTGCTTGTACATACATAGTAAATTCCTTTTCCCAAGCGTATGATAGCATTTCCTCTCCCACGACGGCAGTCATGAGCTGAATTGTGTTAAAAGACTCATTTAAAAATTGTTATGAGAAACTTTTTTTCGATTAAAGTATGAGTTTTTTCAAATTCAAATCATGTGATACGTTCAGGATAATTACGTGTTTAGTATTTTAGAAATTTTGATATGTCATCTAATATTTCCTTACCTAAAACCTCCGAAAATCTTGCGACCACGCAATTGATAGACTCTGCAGTAGAAGAACTGACTAATGCTTTTCAACAAGCAGCAAAAGCAGGATGTCCTAAAACGTTAAAAAGAAAGCAACCACCACCATGGAGGTTGCATGAAATAATGAACCTATGCCAGGAATAAAGGATGAAATCTAAGCAAACGAAAGTGTCAAATAAATGAACATAAAGACTGCCAACCCAGATGTTAATATTCTGTTAAGGCTACAAAACGTTCCTCTTGTGAAACTTTCAGTCAAACGATAGAGCGCAGCTCGGAGGCAAACCGATTACGCAAGATTATTTCAAAAGGCCCAAGAGTGCCTAGTTACCTGCTTAAAGGGAATGGTGAAAAGACGAGTAGGAGTAGGTCCAATACGCTTGGATACCTTATCCTCATGCAGACGCATTTTTCTGATTGTTCCGACATCAGAGCAGCGAACAGCATATAGAATATTGCCTCAGTGGGGTAACTCTCACTTAGACTTTTTTTTTATGGGAGCATTAAAGAAGATTTTTGCAGTTTCTCAGCCTACAAGTTAAGTGGCCTCGACAGCATGCTACCCATAGGCCTTCAGAAAACAGGGAACGTAATTATGCTATATACCGCAAACAGGGACGTTGATAAGAGTTGTAAAGGGTAAATCTTTGCATTCCAAACCCAATGAGTTCCGACCAATAAATCTCTGGTCCTTCCTCCTGAAGTCAAATCCGAAGCCCTCGACTTCGGAAAGAGCAGTACTCTGCACAGCCTTATCTTTGACATTGAGATCTGTTTCTTGGACATTCGTCTTGTAATTGGAGTTGTCTGGAGCTCGACTGCAGGAGCTGCATGGATGAGGACAAAGAAGAATTAATCCGACTTCCTATATGCCATTGCCCGTCTCTATCAAAACGGAGAGCAAAAGCTAAGCAACCCAAAACGGGGATAAAAGCAAACCTCATGTGGTATCACCAATAACCCTGAGTCTAAGTGAGTCCACATAACTAAGCTTCCTTTTAGAATAGGATATATGCACTATTTCCACCCACAGTTAATTTGGATTTCCTCTCATATCTTAGTAGCTGTGAATTGCCACCGATCGGCTAATGAAATGGCAAAGCATTCTGTGCGCATATCATCCGTTTGTTGTCAGAAAGCTGACGAATTTCTTTCTTGGTACAAAATGGTTTTAAAAGGATTGTGGTCGTCGAGCTGGACTACCGGCAGGCCCAGGAAATATGGTGTTTCTACGGGATCGGCCTTAAGGGTGGGAGGCGTTAGTTGAGTTGATTTAAGACGTGGTTAATGACATGCGGAGAACATTCATATGCGGGACATAATTGCATTTGGCAAATCGGCGTCGATTCTGGATAGGTAAGAGTTTGGCCTGCTACAGTATCCAGACCGTAGTTGTACGGAGGCAGCAGAAGCTGCTCCTCTGCGGAGTTGGTGAAGGTAGTGATAGTCTCTCTGACGTCGTCGAGTGAAATGTATATAATCGTGCTAAAATTTATATAGATACCTTCTCACGTGCCTAGGCGAAGGTTCTACTGCCCAAAATTGTGTATTCAGTTGTTTACATGTAGCAATCGACCAGGAACTGCTTTCTCTGCATTATATTATATTCTCTTACTTGGAGAATGTGGGTTCGGCTATGTAAGTGACGTTCTAGCGACATAAAAAGGCATTATTAGCTGTCTGGAGTGCGCTGCGCTGTGTCATGCCTGTAGCTTCGTCCACTGCGACCATTGCCAAAAACATTCCTTTGGCTTATCCACAGGTGCTGACTTGGATGGTTTCCTTCGGCTTCAGTAGTCGGACACTCTTCCTGATTTCAACAAATCACGGATAACGAGAGTGGTCATCAACAGTTTGACAACCTTGGTAAGATAGTTTTCTCCCATCTGGTTGAATTTTTGTAACAGCAACATATATATTCAATTGGGGCCGATGGTTCTAGAGGCTTTTGCCTTGCCGATGCCTCTCGACTCTGGGCGCTGGTATAAATAATAGACGCACGGTATTTTGACAGTTCTTGCTGCCTTCTGATAACCTGACGCTGGGCTTTTCCACCGAGAAATGCGGTATGAATTGTCGACTGAAATAGCTCGTACGACGCTACTGTTCCGGCGAGACCGAACACTGAATGAAATTTACACTCTGTCATCACGCAATTTCGGGTTGCGCAGTTGCTCACACACGGTTGACGAATGTTCCTCACACCATAGGTGAAGCTGCGGGTCTTCAAATGCTCTTCCCACATTTTCCGCGTGAGTTGGTTAACCAATCGTCGAATATCCACATTGAGATCCCCGAATGGGAGATGCCCGCGATATACCTGACGAAAATGACGCTCGTTCGTTTTTATTTCCGGTAAGTATCCAGACGGGATGAAGAAAGCTGTTTAAGCAGTAACTACCTAACTTTATTGAAGTTTATATGGATGCGGTGATCCGAGTAGGTGGTCTGGTGCAAGCGATAACGTAGGCAGCCACATAATGATATTTGTTAGACTGCGCCAGCTATCGTTATGTGTCAGGCGAGCAGCTCCAACTACTAATAACAGGGTAGTGAGGACATCGTCTCTGATGTTGCAGTATATCGAAAGAATGTCAGATGTTCTCAACCACGGCTGCCACATTTGGTCACCAAACACACATTTGTAACCAAAATAGGTAACTTTTTGAGTCCTTGGTAGCTTGGCAACTTTTTTTTTTTTATTTTGGTAACTTTTGGTAAGTTTGCCGTATATAAGGTCAGACAAAAAAAGTTGGATTAATTTGATAAATTGGACTGTGTAGTGGTGACAACACTACTAGAAACAATTGCGTTGATCAGGCACAGCGCTTAGCAAAAATAACTAACCACATATCGAAGAAAATTATCGCTGGGCAGTCCACTCGTTAATTTATCACAGTGTGAGGCGCCTGCCAAACGCTTAGCGTTTCGGTATATGCACTAAAGTCGAATTTTTAAATAATTTTTTTGTTCTGCGGCTAAGATCCCGTTCAAAACACAATAGCTTAAAGCGCGTTTTTATGAAAAGTATATTTTTAAACGCGTGCTTTGCAAAAATATTTATGTGTTGTTTTTTGTTTCACAAATTATTTTTATATCCTTCTTTATACATGTACGTATACGGAGATTGAATAAAAATGTATTTATATACGTATGGGAATGTATCTGGTTATTATATAAGGCCTTGAGCGCTAGAAAAGCTTAACTGACATTTCAAAAAAAGCTGGGGTGCACCTTAAAATGATTTACCAGAATCGAAACGCTAATAGCCCGAGGCACGCCGTTTTAGTTTTCTTTTACTATAATATGTAGCATCACGTAGGTGCAATGCATTTTTTAGTAAACGACCGCATTTATTTTTTATACATCCTTCTTTCTCATATTACTATAATTTTTTGTTTAATGAATTTCCATAGTTTTCTTTTAATAAAGCTATTTATTGTACTCATGTCTTATTTATGGCAAATAAAAGAGGTTTGTTTTAACAGTTTATTGTATAATAAAACGTCGTTTTTGACTCGGTAACTTTTAGGTAACTTCTTTTGTAAATTCTGATCAGAAAATTGTTTGTCGTGTGGCAAACGTGTTCTCAACTGTTGCCATTTTCTAACAATCAGCTGAGAGTGTTTTTTACTTAGTACCAAGTAGAGTCCAACCGATTAATCGGCCGATGCCGAGGCTAATATCGGCCAAAAGAATAGGAATCAGCCATTTTTGGCCAATTCTTGAATGAGGTATTGTTATTTAGTTATTTGATTATGTTTTTCTTTTGTTATTATAAAAATTTATAAAAGCATTTGTTCTTGAAATTATGCTTCGGCCGATTAAATCCTGAATTCAATTCATTTCAAAAACAAATACTTTTAAAAACTTTTGTAATAACAAAAGAAAAACATAATCAAATAACTAAATAACATAACCTCATTCAAGAATCGGTCAAAAACGGCTGATGCCGATTCTTTCGGCTTATACTAGATTCAACATCGGCCGATTAATCGGGCGGACACTAGTACCAAGCTTAGTACTAAGTTGTACGATAGTAGGAGCCTTCAGTCCGCTAACTGTATACATACATATGTATATAATATTACTGTGACCAACTTACCGTTGACTTACCTTAACTACAACTCTTAGGTTAACCGTTGACCTTTCAGCTATGTAATTGCTTGACTACTAAAGTTGTTTGATACAGCTTCATCACCTTATTTAGTGGTGGTTAGATCGTTGTTGTTGTTGTTGTTGTTGTAGCGGCTACAACAACCGCGCCCAGATCGGTTGGCATCTTAGTCGTTGTCGTCAAGTTCCACTAACGGCAGCTCTAGGAAGTGTGCAGCTTCTATCGGGTCGGTCGACAAGGACAAAGACGTTAGAGGTGTCGGGTTTTCCGTCTGCATATGCAGTTAACTGCAAAACTATTTCGTATATCTATACGCGACACCTTCTTTTAATACTTTTATTCACTTTATTAGTATAATTTTAAGTAAAACAATACAATTTTTTCATGTAAATCATGCGCTTATTTCAACTATAATTTAGTTAAGTAAATTTAAAGCTCTGTCTATGATTGCTCTCTCTTTATCTGTCTTTGTTAACGATACATCATCACATCTGTGCTCTGATACATGCACATATAAGCATCGCAGAACAAACGCTTCGCATGTTCTGGCAACATTTTGTCATTTGTTGAAGTCTCATTAACGGCACGGGCGCCCTCCTCCGACAGCCAGAGTGGTAAGTCAGGCACTGTTATCATTTCTGGTATATTATAGCCGTTTTTCTCACCTGAAAAGAGTATAGTTTTGTACTTACGTTTACTAAAACCAAATGTTTTATAAATATATATATACCTTTTCGATCGGCCATCGAATCAAAGAAACACCAAGGTGCATCTGGCCCCGAACCAGCCTTAACAAATGCTACATAATGTGAAGTCTCTATACAAACAACTGCAAATAACTCCATATAGAGACGTGGTACAGTCATATGCTCAGCCATTATACGAAAGTCTTGCGGTACAGACAATTTCTTGGGATTGTGATTTGTTCTAAATAAACAAAATATTATTATAATTCATTTAAGTGATAAGGAGTATTTAATAACAACGCGAACCTTCTTGCGTGCATGTGCACAGTATCGCGGCATTTGAGGCAAAAGGCTGTGCTCTCCAGTCCTACACCACCTTGTAGAACCCCATAGCAATCGCGACATTCGTACTCGGCTAATTTACCACAAACAGAACATTGGCGGGGAGCTGAGGAATGACAACAAAATCTATTTAGTAAATATATGGTTATTTATAAGCTTTTGTTAGACCTACAATCCTCAATAATATCGGTAACATCGAGTAATTGTGACGGCAAAATCCGTGGATACATTTTGAAATTTTTTCCGAAACGTGGCATTTGTATTATCAGACATGACGGCACTTCTTTTAATTTGATATCGGATGAATGAAAACTCTGTTCGAATAATTGCTGTACAGTTGGAAAACACAAACGTTCGTCTTTTTCAACGAATAGCTGATAAAAATAAGCATCTTGACCGGAACTTAGCTGGATAATAATAAAAAAACATATTATATAAATTGAAACTGTGGAAAGTTTTGCTTAAGTACCTTCAAAAATGGTTCTACGCGCATTATTTGCGCCAACAAGCTATTGAGAAACTCTTCCGGATCCTTTTCCTCACTTGTTAGGCCACTAACCGAGCTCAACTTATCCAACAATTGACGTAATTTCATAACGCGATCAGCACGTACGAAAACATGTTTACGCAATGGATTAACAATCTCCTCACGCAATACTTTTTGTACCTCGGTGTAGCTGGGAATATCCTAATGTAAACAAGGAAATGTTTCAATGTTGTCTTCTTTAATGTTTTCAAAAACTTACATCAGCCTCCGGCGGCCGGAAAAGCAATGAATCGAAGACAGGTGTAAAAGTGAACATGGAAAACAATGTAGCATCCAGATAACAGGAATTGTGATGACCTTGTATACCCTTAAATTTGCCACAATTTTCCTCCAATTCCTCTAAGCTTTTGATCTCTGTGAAAAGAAGAAATTGAAAACAAAACATTAACTTTGAGCATCCAACCTGAAATGGCATACAAACTTACTCAAAGGTGCCACTGCGCCCGGCACCGAAGGACATTCAACTTGTCCAAACATTTTTGAGTCGGTTGGTATATTTGCTGCGGCCTTGCCATCTGTTTCAATAAATCGTCGATCAGTGGAGCAACGATCAGATGAAACAAAGAGAGCGCGGCCGTCATGACACTTGAAGTATCTGAAATATTAAAATAGTAGATTGTGTGATTGTAGGATACATTTTGCACTGTAAATAGATATTTCAGATGTTGCAATTCCTTAAACATATACTGCTTAACGCGTTTTCATATACTTATAGCCTACAGCATACCTTACACCGTTGTATGTACCATTCGATGTTGGCAAAGTGCGTTCATCCTGATCCTCCTCCAGCTCCACGCCATACATTATTTGTTTGCGCCCCTGTGCCATACCAATCCAACGTATAACACCGTACAAATTATCTGATGCCTCCGGTATGGAGACCTCCACCATGGATCCTACACCTAGTGCGGTGTCAGGTATATCCTGCAAAGGCGTATATTTTATCAAATCCACTTCCGCCGTTGCATCAATATCAACCAAATTATCATAAACTGGTGAATCGCGAGAGTTTGCATACTCTAAAGAATTGAGTAAAGAAAAGTCACGATTTTTTAGTTTTTTTATGTGTTGAACTTGTTCAAAAAGTTAAAAATACATTTTCCTAAGATAAAGCATTTGCAATACGTTCAACAACCTGGCGAGATATTTGGCGAAAATTGGTATGTGCCACTTGGCCCGGACGCGAATAGTTCCAATACAGTTAATGGTATATTATTGTAAAGTGATGCATCACTAGGAGTTAACGAATTAACGCTTCGAGTCTCCATTTTCTGACTTTAATTTAATGAGTAGCTATTACTATTCCAAGAAAAACATGCACAAGTAAACACTTGCAACTACAACGGAACTATTTATATCGCATGTTGTACAATATTAGGTTGGATATAAATACATACGTCACAGAGTAGGCAAAGATTTGCGCGATTCGAAATAGCATTCGATATTGTTGTATTGCTTCTTTCAAAAGCTATCGGGTGGCCACTACCAAACTTTTTTAATGTCAAGTAAACTAATTAAATTAAAATAAATGAAATGATTGAAAGAATCAAATGAAATGAAATGAAATAAAATGAAGAAAAATGAAATTAAATAAAATGAAATTAAATGAAACGAAAGGAAATTAAATTATATCAAATAAAATTAATTGAAACAATATAAACAAATTAAGTAGAACGAAAAATGAAATAAATTAACATAGAACAAAACTAAATTAAATAAAATGAGGTAAAATAAAATTAAGACGTATGAAATTAAAAAAGAAAAGAAATTAAAACAAAATAAAACAAATTAAAACAAAATTAAAAACATTAAAAAGAAAATAAGAAAAATAAATAATATAAAACAGGTAAATTAAAACAAAACAAGTTTAAAATATAAAGTACATATAACTAAAATAAAATAAAGTAAATACATCACAAAATAAAAAAAAAATTTAAAAATCTAACATTAACTAAATTTAAAATAAATAAAATAGAATAAAAAAATTAAATCAAATGGGATAAAAATAAAAGAAATAACTCAATATAAATCATAGTAAAACAAAATCAAATAAAGTAAAAAAATAAATCAAAATTAATAATAAATGTAATCTAAAAATTTAATCAAATTAGAAAAGAAAATACAAAAAAATGGCAAAATAAAACAAACGAACCAAAAATACAATAAAATAAAATAAAACTGAATAAATTAAGATAGATCAATTAAATAAAACAAAGTAAGAAAAAATAAAATAAATCAAAACAAAATAAAAATAATGAAATAAAATAATAAAATAAAATAAGATAAAATAAAATAAAATAAAATAAAATAAAATAAAATAAAATAAAATAGAATAAAATAAAATAAAATAAAATAAAATAAAATAAAATAAAATAAAATAAAATAAAATAAAATAAAATAAAATAAAATAAAATAAAATAAAATAAACTTTCTTGCTTTTTCCATTTTTCCTAATAAAATACTCATGGTACAAAGCTCAATAAAAATATTAAAATTAAATGTTAATAAGCCACAATAACATTGACAAATACATAGTTTAGGAAGAGCCTGCCTGAAACTATACAAGAAACCAAATGCATGCATAGAATTGACAACAACAACAACCACGCTGTCAAGTTTAAATCAAGGAATGAAACCGAAACCCAAACCGAAACAGTAACCGTTATCTTGACCTGAAAAGGAACGATACCGAAACCATTTCAATCACAGGTTTCAATCGGTTTCCAGAAATTTACAAAAATAATAAATAAAAATTTCTTTGAAATAAATGATTTATTTAACCAAAATCAGCAATATTTTGCTAAAATTCTTGTTAAGTAGTAAATAAGTATGGCAAGGTAACTTTTCGAAAAAGCTACTAAAATGGTGCCTAATAAATTAAGTATCCGATCTGACATCGGTTATTTGGAAGAAGTCATTTTCATTTTCACATGTATAGTTGTAAAGGACAGAGAAATGAAGGGGTTTCATAATTATGTAGTAAATATATGACCGAAATAACAATTATATTTTAGTTTTCATACACCTTTAGTTTTACAGCAAAAAGGAAACATTTAAGTGAATCTGGTGATGACGTTGCTGCTGTGTATCTGTGTAGTTTTCAGCGAAAACTGGTTTTCGTTTGACAGATTTTACATGGACGAAAACACAAGTTTTAGGTCGAAAACCAGTTTTAGCAACGAAAACATGTTTCCGATGTCGGTCAGAACATGGTATAAGTGACAAAAACAAGAACAGCGTGAATCAGCTGTTTGTCGACTTGTGGGCACGAAATGTGGTTTTTTGCGTTGCCGTACTTCTGGACTTTGTTCCATTTTTGAAAGAAAATGTTTCTCTTATTCTCTAATTACCAAATCCGGTCCGGATTGTTAGGGANGAACCTAGTGTTGATATTATCAGTGAACTGTAATTTTCAATTTTCTTTCCTTAACCTTTATGACATTGTGATTTAAATAATATCAACAAAATTTCTGTGAAAAACCGAAACCGCAACGAAACCGAAACCAAAACCGAAAAAAAATTTTGAAGAACGAAACCAAAACCGAAACCGACACACATGGCAAAACCGAAACCCAAACCAGACCGTTATTTTGAATCGGTTTCATTCCTTGGTTTAAATAGCGGCAAATCAGCTGCACTTGATAGCAGTAGGTTGAATAAGGAAAATGAATTAGCAACACGAGTTCTTCTGACTTTGTACATCGATGACGCGGGTTCGATCCCTGCTGAAGTCTAGGAAATAGAAGTCTGATGAGGAGATGTGGTGATCTCCTAAATAGGTGCTATAACTTCTACCGCTTAGACTTTGTTGCTTTTTTTCATTTTTCCTAATAAAATAATCGTGGTACAAAGCTCAATAAAAATATTTAAATTAAATGTTAATAAGGCACGATAACATTGACTAAATTTAATTTAATTAAATAAAAACAAAATAATTTTGTGTAAAATAAAATGAAACAAGGTAAAATAATGTCAAAAAACAAAATGAATAAAAATTAAACAAATCAAAATAAAATATAATAAAAAAACACAATATGGGGGTATCCAGCGAAAGGTTTACTAAAAAAAATTACACAAATAGTCTTGCCCAAAACTCACTTTTGTTTTTGTATCGTCACGGCAGCGCGTATGTTTGCTTATACATATCTTTAAATTCGAACTGAAAAAAGGACACTTAACTTTGAATGAAATGAAATATATCTGAATCTAGTAAGCAAAAAAACGCGGTAATCTTATGCTAAAAAAAAATTAAATAAAAATTCATAAAGTATGTACTTTAGTCCACTTAATGCTTAACAACACAGGTGGTCCATTTAAATAGGCACCGATACCAACTAGTCCAAATTCACACTAAAACTATGAATTTAATTATTTCTACAACTGTGAACGTATTTTTCTTACATTGCAGAAAAAAAACTAACTGGCAATGGAATATCAAATTGTTTCATGGCAAAAACACACTCGGAGGCAGGGCTAACAACTTGGCTCAAACCGTGCCATTTTTGGCCCTATTTTGCATCAAATGGCACTTCATTTTTCAATTTGCTACAAAGTTCCAAAATGGCACTTGTGAAATCCTTTGCGTGTACTTCTTTTTCTCAACTAAAATTTTGTAATTTCTAAAGGATATTCAACTGGTTTATCTTATTTTTGCATTGCACTTTTGTTTTAAAAATGTGGTTCTTATTTTATTATGGTCCTTCCCATGACTAAAAAGGATGGCACCTTCCTTGGGAGTTTCATTTTTCTTTTTGGCACATTTTGGAACTTTTTATCCTTAATATGGTACCTCATAGCTAAGGATAGTTGACAGCCCTGCTCGGTGGTATTTACTATTATGCGACTCTCTTAACTACTCGGCTGTGATTTATTAAATTTGCGTTTAACTTAAAAGTGGTCACATTGAAATAACTGTGTTAACAAATTAGTATTTGCATACGTTTCAAAATGTTTTTAATATTATTGCATTTTTAAGTTTTCCAATATTCAGAGGTGAATAACTTAAAGGAGCCATCATTTCTTTCATGTCTTTGAATTTCGTATATATATTTTGTTATTCTTTAATTTGTTATTAGTAAATTATTAAACTTCGAAGTTGTCCACCTTTGCATAAGCAAAAATATATTTCGAATATGTATAAAACTAAAAAAATCGAAGGGAATACATACTATTTGCTCGAATGCCTTCTGCTGTTCCATCACCGCTCATAAATCCTTCCATTGCTACATTTTCTACCGTTTTAATGCTACCAAAGTGTGTTAAAGGATTGGGTGATTTATTGCGTGCTCCTTTCATTTGTACAGAATCCAGACTTCCGCCGCCGCTTGTTTGTTGTGATTTTATCAACTGCTGTTTGTTATTGAGTATAGCAGCGGCATCACCAGCAGTGCTTGGCCAATTGCTGCCTAACAATTCCGCCAAGTCAACTTCTTGTTGCATATTTTTAGGCACAACAATAACATCAGATTCATTTTTTGTTGACTCACGTATGTCAGCCTTGTCTATAACAATTATATCGCGATCTTCCATGCTTAACAAGTTCAATGGATGTACTGTCGCTGCAGCACAGCTGACATCTTTATTACCAACACCGCCACCAGCAACACTATTCGTGGTTGCAGACGTTTGTCGGTGTTTTAAAATACCTGGTGGTGCAGATGCTGGCGCAGATGTTGCAGTAGAACCTCGTTGTCTTTCCAAGCTGCGTTCATGATTCTCAATGGTTTGCTTGTAGTCATCACTGTCTATCGATATGATTGGTGTACTGTTGTCCAACTCATCCGAGCGCTTCAATTTACCTTTTTCACGATCCATTATGTGTTCCTGTGCAAACTCGTTGCTTCGATTAGGAATTAAGTTTGAACTCCCAGGGGTTGGAGAGCTTGGAATGTCGTAAAATTGAGAAGTTGGTGCTTTCTTTTTTGTTTTTTTTTGTCTCCGCAAGGAATTAGTATTGCTGCTTCCACCTACACCGTTCGCGCAAGTGGATGGCACAATAGCGGTACGTACTTTAGTTAGCGTTTCACCTATGAAGTCTAGTGTAGAGAATTTCTTTTTGTCTTCACTGTTTAACTGGAGTAGATTATCGGCTGTTGTGAATATGGAAAGTGATGGCTCACTACGCGTGTACTGAATCGAAAATGGAATCTGATCAGACTGTGGTGAGAAACCGCTGTCCAAATGCTAAAAGAAAATTATTACAGGTTTTTAAGGTTTGTTGTTCAAGAAGTTATTTTACTAAATAAAATTTTGGACTGAATCCAAAATCCTTTATTTTCATAACTGATATAATTTTTCATAATTTTAGTTATTTCTTATAATATTAGATATAAACAAGTTACACATAATACATTTACATATATTTGTGCGCATTTTAAAGTCCTTCAAGTTTGTAAAACTATCTATAAAGCTTTGGCATATCATAAATCAGTCGGCAATAGGTAAATGACAGGTTAAAGTTAGAAATCGTAGCCCATATATACCATTCATTTTAATAGAAGTGAAATTTTTCTTAAATTAGTTACCCATAATAGTTTTGAATAGTGTTCAACCACACATCACAACCTAAAAAATTCATACCAGCAACTCCAGTCCGAAGAAATAACCAACAGGATGCATTTCGATAACAGGTCCAATATAACGTATGATGCAGTCATACCACGTTGACTCTTTACCAAATTGGCCGCCGGAAACGCGCACTAAATCATTGACCTTCAAATAAATTATCCATTTACAATGTTCTTCTTTCTTAATCAATCGCAATCGTCTGTCTGGTTCTTCAATGCCAATCACATATGGCCAGAGCGCTTCATCCACCTTTAATAAATTAGCTTGCGGACATTCATAAAGGTTTTCATACATCGGTTCTTGGCGTACGAGATCAAGTATTTGTACCGTGCTCATTTTCTTATTACCTACCACTTCCATAGGTGTTTGGCTTTGGAAAACTTTTATAAGCGTGCCGCCCACCATACTGAATGTTTGCGCTTCAGATGGGCGATCACTTGGCACTTCAGCGCTAGCATGCATGCGTAGCTCAGTGGTACGCGCTAGTATTGCATATTTCGAAAACGTCTGTGTCTTTAGATCCATTTCGGCGTTGTGTTTAATTTCGAAGTTGTGTCTTTTTGTTAATGTTTTTTGTAAATTTTCAATAAGTTAACTGGAGTACAACTAAAATTGAGACAAATTTTTACAAATCAAAAGAAATGAAAAGGAGAAAACGAAATAGGTTGAAAATGAGAAACTATAGTGCGTCGGGTAATAAGTGCAACGAATGTCTAGTATGTGGTAAATTATTATAATCTATAGACGATGGATGCGGGAAATCACAAATGTGTTTAATTAGAAGCAGTATTTTTGTTTTTATTATTAATTTATGCTCAATTACTTACTTTGCTCGTATTATCGCCTATAACAACTTGCTTTTACAATTTACATTGCTGTCTACACAGTGCATCACTTTTAGCTACTTGAATTGTTTTATTTACCTTATCGGAGCAATAAAATAATAAAAACAGAAAATTCACGTCATTGATGAGTAAGGCCAACAGCTGTTTTGAAAAAACAATACGTTCACATTTTTTTAATTTAACGCCGTCAAAATTGCGTGTGCGGTAAGCAGCTTAATATGAAGTTCACACCGTCGATAAAAATGTGCCTTGATTACTTCTCATGAGACAGTGGCAACAAGTAACGTAAATCCAAAGAATGTAAATCTCAAGCTGATGCCACATAAAACGTTTGCTTCGCTTTACGTGACAGATTCGCTTTGACAGCTAAGATGAATTGTATGAAAATGCACAAAGCATGCCACATAGATCATTGAAGCTGCAGCGCGAAGCGAAAAGATGGCCAACTCCCATCTTTTTGCGCGCTTTGACAATCAGCCGGTTTAATATTTATTTTGTTTCGTCCAAATTCGGGTATTCATGCTGAAACATAAAACTCAATTACATTGCTGATAATTTTAAAGCAAAATATCTAAAATCCACAGCAATTTTGACGAGTAAAAAATTGATTTCTTGGCGTTCATTGTGGCATACCTTTTGCGTCTGGCGCTTTGCTGGCAAAGTTATAAATGTCACGCAAAGCTACAAAGTTTTATCTGGCATCAGCTTTAGAAGGGGCAGAACCAAAGAATGTAGACCTATAAGAAGAAGAAGCGTTCCCACGAGGAGTCGGGACTACGTAACTGGAACGACCGAGATTTATATCTGGCCAAGGACTGTCACTCCAACAACAATAACAATCCATAAGAACAACTCGCTACTTTGAAAAAGGGCCGCGACGATATTGACCGTATCTGAAACGTTTGCAACAGAAATTGGTCTACATTTTGTCTCTGTCCGCGGCAGATTTTTGATTTTCGCCTCGTATGGGGAAAACGCGCTCAAAACATAAGAAAAACGGCAAATGTGAATATCAGTAAAATGTATAATATTCTGTGCATCTCTTAAGGCCATCCACATAGAACTTTGGCGTTGCGTTGGCGTTGGCGTCGCTTCAACAGCTGACTATGAATACATGAATTCAAATGCAGCCGTCCACATAGCCAAAATTCGACAACGCAATTACAATTGTCTAATGTAATGTAATGTTGTCAAGACAGTAAAGAAATACGTATTAGGCAAAGAACATAGTGATGCGACAAAGAGAGACGAGACATAATCGTACAGCTTCATAAGTAAAACACTATCAGCTGATTGCCAAAAAATGCCTACAGCTCAGATCACCTGTTTTTTGTCATTTTCCCTTATCTTTTACAATTGCTTTCACTTCTATTACAATGGCTTTGTTTCTTTTCTTTTCTAGCAGATAATTATCAGGAAGAAGAAGAATGAGGAGATTGAAAGAATTACGCTCACAGAGAGCGAAATAAAGAAAAAGTAAATAAACGCAAAACTAGCCGAAACTAGCAAGTAATCAGATGATCGGTGTATTTGACTAGGGGAAGTATTTGGCGCGAATTTTTGTTTATCCATTTTGACAGCTGCTAGTTTCTGCTAGTAAAAATTTTCCCAGCCTCCTGTATAGGGGCTATCTCTGCTTGGAAAACGCTACAGTGATCCGGAGACCTGAACTTTAGGTTGATGGAGAATTTTTTCTTTTTACATTTTTTAATGAAAACTAAAATTTCATCAGATGTTCAGAGAGCTTGAAGGTTTCTGCAAACTTTCTGTTCGCATACTATACTGGATATTTTTCTCTTGTGAGAGGACAGATTTCCCCCGTTCACAGGAACATATTCATGGGCATGTTTTACTGGAGATTTTAAACGAACGTACCTATAGAGAAATTTACCTAATTTAAAAACATATATGTTGGTACTTTTTCGGCTGATTTGGTACATTTTTTTTTGCAATTTGGTACAAAATTAAAAAACGAATTTATCATCCCTGGCACAGGCCCTATGTAGATAATTTATTTGGCGACGACCGGGCTACGCGACAGCTGTCGTTGGGGCCAGGTTAGATCTATTTCTAGTTTTCCGGCGACATATATGCCCAAAATACAATAACGCAGTTGCAGTGGCAGCGGCAGTTTTTGAAATTAGCTGTTTTTTATAAAGTGTGGTGTTAAATGAAGCGACTCACAATACAGCAGTGGCAGCTAGCAGTACTGCTTAGTTTGCCCAAATTCTAATAAGAGCCAGTTTCACTATCTAAACTTAAGTTGAACTTGAGTTATAGTTGAGAAAAATCTTAGCTAAGAACAGTTTAAGGTCTTGTTCAGGTTTGCGTTTCATAATGCGTACTTAGGTATGGAAAATATTTTGTTAAAAAGTATGGCAGCACCACAAAAAATGCTTTGTTTACATGAACCAAAAATACAAGATCACGTAAGAACGCGACGTTGTATTTGTAACTGGTTTTGGGAAAAAAGTTTGCGAAAGCGGGTTCGTCCGCTGAGCGTTTGTTTACATCACAAGCACCACTATTTTACACTTTTATTCAAGTAAAGAAGTGTTAACTCAACATGACAACACATTTTAAAGCATTTTATTGCATCATTTTACCTAAATTGTGCGTTTAAAGTGACTGACAATAATTTTGACTAATTTTGGTTTTCGTTGTTTTCTTTGCTTTGTTTACTTTTCGCTCGTTTTCCAGTGAAACAAGATGGCGTAGAACCCGCTAAAAATATCGACTTTTTTCACTCTCTTGTTCTTACGTGATCTTGTGTCTTTCGTTCATGCTTTGTTTACATGTTTTGACATTTCTTAACTTAGGGTTTACACCGGACAATATTGTCAAGACAATTATAGTTGCGATCCCATACGAGTCCGGACTAGTCAGAAATAGTCAGAATCAGTCAGATTTGACTGGAAATCGATCCCGTACTCGGTTCTCTGACTATTGAGAGGACAAAAAAGAGAGTAAAAAAGATCCTCTCTCTGTCAGAAGTTACCAGTTTTAGTCCGAAGATTTTTCGCTGGCAAGATCTGTGTCAAACGATCAGCTATTGCGTGTTTGGCAACCAAATTGTAAACAAAAGAAAAGTGTACTGTGCTAATGCATGTTGAAAAGTATTTAGTTACTTGTTTAAGTGGATTCTAATCAATTTGAAAGTATTTTTGGTTATTTATATGTGTGAGCTGAGTGTGTTTACGCATAAAATAAGCAACAATTTACAACCAAATTTGGAGGTTATGTTGAAGTTGACAGAAGTTGCGCATTTCCGCAGAATGACATTTGTGGCAATGGGTAAACAAAGAATGTGGCGAAGAACAATGAGTTGATTGTTGTGAATTTACAGTGAGAAAACGTGTTTTCTTCACGATTCACCAATTTCTCCAGCCATCTTTGAATATCCGGCCCTAAGTGTATGCGGTTTATTTAAAGTGTAATATTTGAGTGAAGAAATATAAAATGTTGAACTATATATTAACAAAAAGGGTGGGGTTTAGTTGCGCTCCCAACTATTTCGGGCTATTCCGTCCAAAGGGGTGGCCCGATCCAAAAAAAAATTCCACACACTTGTAGTCAAGGGTCTACACCAATGATGGGCAAAACGCTACTCGCGAGCAGTGTTGCCGTTTTAGCCCTTTGGTGGCTAAATTTGGCTACCAAATTCTTTTTTTGGCCACAAAAATTTGAAATTGCCCCTAGCCCTTTTTTTAGCCCTTTTCAAAATTTATTCATCATTGACATTCAAATTTTTTTTATGATTTTCATGAATTTAACTCTTCGCTCATAAAGCGAACGCCTTTCCTTTAAGGCAAGTAAACATATTTCTATGTATGTTCCTTACGTTTCTGGGCCGTTATCTTATCCGTTAACGATTTAACTATACTTTAAAATAGGTAAGTTGGTGGCCCTTAATATGCTTT